GACTATGAGTTGCAAAAGACTTTATTTAAAACCATAATGCATAAAAATTTGCAAAAGTTGTTTAAATAATATTAAGAGCTATCTACAGTATCAAAACTGTCTGTGAATACTTAAAAATAAATGAAAACTTACTGTAGAAAATCATTGTTTGAACTTTCCAGTACCAAAGAAAAACTCCTTAATACAGAAATTACAAAATGAAAAATAATAAACATAACATATAATGGAAGCAAGAATAAAGGGAGTAATAACGACATCTTATCAGTGTTTAAGCTTAAAAAACATATACGTAGCAGAATTTAAAAAAATGCGATGAATTTAATAGGCATTGGAAAAGGAAGAATTCTCATTGCAGAGTTTAATTTTTAAAGGCATTCATGATGTAACACTCTTTTAGGTGATATTTTAAAAAAATATATTATTCAGGTTGATGCATAGGTTCTTATGACGTCACAGTGACCAAGAGGAGAGATGGAGCGAACAAATGGAAATATACACCCAGACATTGGTATCTCAGTGCAAAAATTTATTCTTTGAGTTAGTGTATAGGTGAATGGTGGTGTTAATGACATACGTGAAGTCGCTATTTTTTTTTTTTTAAACTTCACAAATTAATGGAAACAATTCAGGGGATAGTAGGAGGGTGTTGAATCAAAAATCTAAAACCGACGTGGAGGAAAGAAAATCAGTGAGGGTAATACTTGGGACATTTTAAGGGAAATATACTCCTCCATTTTTACCTTAAATTCCAATGTTTCTTCTCCAGGACGTGCTTTTCGTTGTGCCTATGAAATAAAGGTGTCACTGTAACCAATAGTTTTGAAAGTGAGAGTTTGGATCAACGAGAGCAGCAACGTAATGATATGAGTATGAGAACAATAACGTACTGACGCGAATATGATAGCAATAACCTACTGATGTGATTGTGAGAACATTAACGTACTGATGTGAGAGTAGCAGCGAGTTTATGCAGGTGTCAGCGAGAATATTTGAACACTGATTTGTAAGTGTATATCAACATATTGTTGTGAGAGTGTGTAAGTGTATCAGCTACTGGTGTGAGAGTGTGTAAGTGTATCAGCTACTGGTTTGAGAATATTTGAAAGAATCAACATAATGATGAGTAGAGTGAGAGCATCAACGTACTGATGTGAGTGTGAGAGCATCAACGTACTGATGTGAGTGTGAGAGTATCAGCGTACTGATGTGAGTGTGAGTGTATCAGCGTACTGATGTGAGAGAGTGAGTGTAAGAATATCACCATGAGGAATAGAACAATGCGAAGATACAGTGGGAGAAGTGCCTCAGCAGATGTTTAATTGTAGAACTGTAACACTATGAATTGTAGATCTTTCTGTATAAACCCAGGTACAACTTTGTTGCAAATACCATTGTGATGAACAAAGGGGACAGAGGTAAGGGATCTTGCTTTACTTGTCAGAAAATGTGTTCAAACAAAACAACGTGTAATTAAAATACAACATACAAATGTATAAGAAAGGTCTAAATACAAAAACTTATCACAAAAATGATGAGATGGATGTTGATGGATTCTGAGGTTGAGGACATCACTGCCTACAAAAAACATGTAATGGTAATCAGAAGAAGACAAAGAACTCTGCGAAGTCAAGAAAGATGGACATATTTGGTGTAATATCTTTGACGAGGACAAAAAATTAGTGTTGCTGAAAGACTGGGAACATGAAGAGCTCAGGGGTTTGCTTGTTTACTACAGTCATACACCCAGGGACACATGATACATAATTACACTGATAGTAGTGGAACGATAGATTTTGTAGCATCATAGAGCGGTATCCAATATACTCAGTGTACACGTAAACATATCAAAAACATTGAAGGAAGTCGTCAAAAGACGTCAGGGTGGGTGATGGATGTCAAGAAGTTCTTGAAAATTTGACTTCTTATGGTTATCCTCACGGTTACTTCATGTTGGTGTCACAGGATGAGTTTGAAAGTACTTGAGAAAACTCATTATGAACAGATAATTTACAGTGCGGTTGCCCACAAAAGCATAAAGTCCTGAATATAAATTCTTACGGTGTGACTGCAAAAAAGAAAAAAATCCCATAATAAAGGAGTTCTGTGGGAGTTCACAGTACTGCGGAACTCCAACTAGACTACTCCTTCATTTTCAGAGAAAGATTTGAAATTTAATGAAAATTTTTAAAGAAATATATGGAACATAAGCTGTGACATCAACACATAAAACAGTATTTTTAATGAGGTACAATTGACTGATCGCGTGAGAGAAACAAAGCAAGTGTTGTAGTTCATGATTTTTTGTGACTTCCCTTAAAGATGCCATTTCTGTTATGTGAGAAATACTCGTAAAATAGAGAACACGTACTTAATGCTCTCACGTGGATCTACCTTCATGAAACACAACACCAGTACCTCACTACCTCTATGAAAAGTTCCATCCTGCATGAACGCTCTTCGCAGGTCAAAAGTGAGATAAGTTTATTATTTTATATTGGTCTTGCTCCTAACTATGGATGTCTGTATGATTACGCAGCAAGGCATTCACCGAATAGCTTTTTGTAGAGGCACGAGGTGGGTATCTGGATGAGTTCTACAACGGATGAGCAATTTTTCATGCTATGCGCGTCTCCAGTCTATGATAAGTCTGCATGATATGTATAGGTGGAGATCTTGTTTACACTTTATAGATATATGTGAGTTTGTTGAACATACCTCCAGGCTTCCCGGGACTCAATTTGCACGGATGAACTGAATCCTTACCGTTAGTCCTACTGTTATGAAGACGGAGCGCGGCGGCCACGCGTATACTTTACACTAATTTTGTCATTTATTTAAGGATACTCGTTTTCTCTGATATATATTTCATATTTTTAAATTATATTTTATAAAAAAATACCATAAATAATTAGGATTAATAATGCAATACATTTATACACAATATATAAGGCGCAAAGGTATATACACTTAGAATTGCTTCAGTCCCTATTTCAGGGATTAAAGCAATATTTATTGGCTATATACTGTACAGGTGACATGCAGCCTTAATGACTTTTGTGTAGCAAATAGGCTTCAGACCTATTAAACCAGCCAGTCCTAAGGCTTGTGTACTACAGAGTATATAGGTAAAAGGCATAATAAGGAACATTTAAAATTCTTGAGCGGAAATAAGAAGTAAATGTTCAAAGAAAACGAATTAAACTTATTAAATCGTAGTAAGTAGGTGGTTATGGAGGGCAGCATTTGAGTTATTGCTCCAGGATTATTTTTCGTGATTTTATATTACATTTATGGCTTTCATATAGCCTATATTATTACAGTTTATATTTATTTTCATATATTGTATTGGAATGGGGATGTTTAGTTCGATTTATGTTATGATTTAATTCATGGGGAGAAAATAACCTTTGTAACAATAACTTAGAACGTCGCTGGAATTCTTGCTCTTTTTACAAAAAACCAGCTGAAGTCGTCCTAAGTATTGGATTATTTGGGGTAAAAAAGAAAATGAATTATCAACTATGATCAGTTTAACAATTTTGAGGTTTAACCTTAAGAGACTGCTGGAGTGTCTATCACCTGCTGAGAGAAAACTGCCAGGGTTATTATGTCTCTGGTAACGCTGGAAGGCAAGGGGGAAATTACACTATCACATTTTCAATAATGTCAGGTCATTCTGAAAGAAAATGTAAAAACTTTAATTATATCATATTTTTTTTATTTAGCCGCGCAGTATATTGTTTATTTATTATTATATTGTATTTAGAATAGTTTTTTTCTTTTGGTTATTTAAATGACGGCGCCCACGAAGGTTTTGGACTGTGACAAGCAAGTTGTTGATTCACCCAGTTCCGTTGGGCTCCAGAATTTGTTATTTTGCCAGAGTAGTTCTAGTAAGTGGACGCCGGAAATGATACTGCTGTCTTGATCGGGAAGAACGCGATACATGCAGCTCAAGACACCCTCCCACTAAGCATCTTTAAGAATTTAATCTTAGAGGTCAAATACCATAAATTATGCGGCATGATACCTGGCCTCTCAGAAGTTCAGGACTCGAGTGGTAGCAATTTCAAGAATTTTTTAACATATATAACTAGATACAGCCTTTAACTAATCAATCATTTCCCAACAAGACAAGGTAACTGAAAGAAGAAAATAACAGATTTTATTCCTTGTCTTTTTGGTTATTGATTACAATAGATAGGATAATCAATCTTAAGAATTTTAATAACATTTCTTGTCACACATAAAGAGATCAATTTAACCAACCTGGTTATATGTAGTGGAAATTCTGGGTATGCGGATTGAAATTAAACAGCTACAATATATATACGTATATGTATATATATATATATATATATATATATATATATATATATATATATATATATATAATATATATATATATATATATATATATATATATATATATATATATATATATATATTATATTAATGAATGTATATACACATATTCTCCGATCAGAAAGTCAGTATTCTTTTCCGGCGCTTTGCATTTAGGAACCAATGTCGCGCTCTCATCTTAGGTCATGATACGTGAGCTTGAGGATGCCACAGGTCATCAGGCCCCTGCGGCGACTTAACGTTTCAAGTTCCACCGTAGGCTGGGATAACCATGAAATCATTCGTGTTTAAAACACAATGTTTAGTATCTTAGGTCACCGAAGACCTTGGCCAATAGAATTTCAGGGTTAAAAATGACCTTGATGTCACTAGGACGTTGGAGCCACTAACACCTCAGGATTACCAGAACTGTAAGGTCATGAAAAACCATGGCCACAAGGGCCAAGGGGTGGTTTCAGTGGCCCTTGCATTCACCATGACCTCAGGATCACCATGATCTAGGGGTCATGGGTCACCGTGATGCCGGGATCAATATGACTGAGTGGTCACCTCAGGCAGCGACAATGGTTGTGTGTGTGTAAGTCTACTTGTATGAGTTGTCTAGAAGGGTTTTGTTAGGGTAACATTAAGGAAACAGTCATAATATGAAGCTTTAGTCGTAACAGAAAAATAAATGTAGAAGAGCAGAAGAGAAGTCAATTTATTATCAAAATATATATCATGAATAATTTTTTTTTCAAAAGACGAGAAAATTTAATTCCATATAATCATGACTTATATAATGCAAAACAAATTAAAAGACTTTAAGAAGAATTTGTATAAGATGAATGAATAGAAGGTAATATGACACCCGATCCATAGATACTTATAACGTGACGTATGAACATTATATATATATATATATATATATATATATATAATATATATATATATATATATATATATATATATATATATATATATATATATATATATATATATATTATAATACATATATAACTTTTTACAGTCACATAAATATTCCTTCACATTAACATTGACTTGAAAATAATTCATCGTTAAACATTTCATTGAAATTGCTTTTTTTTTTTATTAAGATTAATATTACGCTACTGTGATCGGGATCATGAATATTGGGATGAACACGTGCGGGAGGGTCTAGCACATACCTCGTCCGCGATGAGTAGGGATGGCCTGCGCCCACCAGCGCCATCCTCGGGAGGAATGAGCGAACCTCTCCGGCTGGGAGGTCCTGAACCTGTGGCCTGAGAGCCTCGGCGCTCAGGTGACTTATCTTTTATCACCTCAATCTTAGGAGCATCCTGGAGAAGAAATCAAATCCTAGAGAATCATGGAAGATTGAACTATTATTAATCACAAGTTGACAAGGATACAACAAGAGCTAACTAGTATCCTTATGGATGACGTGGCTGCCAAAATAAATGAAAAGAAGAAATTTCCTACATTTTTTTAGTTTAATGCCTTTTATCAGTTTACTGCTCGCACGTACAAGAGTGTTAGTGAGACTGTTAATGCCATGAGAAGATGTAGAATCTTAAAAATCTTACAATCACTTGCTACATCCTGAAACTCTGAAGACTCAGCGTCGGCTGAACAATAAAATGTCACTGTTGTATTTGCGTCCTTTTACCTAACTGAAGAAATGAAAATTATTCAGAGACAAGCTATGTATGTGTAAATGTGCGGGTAGATCCGACGTCAGGAACACTGCCCTGGTGTGGTTTCCAAGGGGTCGTAAATGTGAGTGACCTGTTTTGGGCCAATAGTTATATACTTCAGCAAGAAACTGTTTAATACATATCTCATGAGAGTTATCCTTTTACGATGTGATGTACATTAAGTTTCTTTGCGTGTTTCGTGAAGTCTTTATAATTAATATACTACCCTGCACTCTGGAAATATCAGCTCTTTTTTATATTATGATTGCCAGTCCTTGATGTTCACAAACCTTCTGACACATAATTCATTCTTTTTCTTCGGCACAGTTAAATTCACTGGCTGAAAACTTTCATTACTGCAGCTCACTTCGAAGTGTCTACTCGCCCGGTCTAGCATTAGGAATAATATTAGGAGAGAAGTAAATAATGAAATTGAATATAATAGGAATGTAGTTACAAGCCTGAGTAGATCTATCATCCACTATGATAATATGAACGTAGATAAGAATGCATATGGAGCAACTTCCAATGTGAACTGACTGACTGATGTTGTAATTACAGTTTGGCAACACAGATGATGAACAAACCAAATGTAAAGTATGTGGCAGCTCTATGGTCACTTTCTTGAGCACCTTGTGTTTTATCGTCCACTTATTGAGGAATATATAGAGAGAAAGTATAATAATCAATGTAATATGTCAAGATAGCTTGTAATATGTCAAGATAGTCAGTTGTAGATCTAAACCCAGATGCACTACTGTGAACCGTGCACAGGACGGATATGGGTTCACAATATGGGTTCACAATACACTAATCGCAAAACCTGGGATTGAAACCTTTACTTTACTACTGACAATATTTATGGCTAACAAAATTTACCGGTAATAAAAGTTACTGGACTCTGCCTCTAGTCATGGTCAGCTGCTACCATATTAAAGTCACTCTCATTCTTAACACCAGTGTTAAACATCAGCTGCGTGCTAATAGGAAGCGCGTTTGTCTCGTGCTCAACAGACAGAGGATCGAGCCTCCATTACGTCTTAAGCTGAATGACCCACATGACTTTAGCGCTTAACACGAATTATATATAAAAAAGAGTGCTATACAATGTTGCGTCCCAGTGTCTTCTTACAACACTGCATTACAACTGCCAGGAGTTGTGGCCACAGTATCTGCCATGGCTAATGCCGGGCCGCCCATTGATTGTCCAGCTGCCTCAAAACCTCTCATGTCATCAAGTTGATGCCAATATATCAATATTTAAATTAAAAAATAAAATTAAGCCATACCAAATTAATATATTTTTTTTTTACATGATATTACGTCCTTACATATCCGAAGTCGCTTGCTCATATATATATATATATATATATATATATATATATATATATATATATATATATATATATATATATATATATATATTGTTGTACCCACGAACGAGTGGTATTGATCATTAACAACACTGCGAATAGCCAAGGAATCGAACCCATGCTGCTTTGGCTAGCCTCATGGTGACCGACAGACAGATGACGCACTAGTCCGCGGGACCACACAATTCTCGAGAATGACGCATCCAGCCAAGCTAGATGTTGTACCCGTAATCCGAGAACATACGGTGGTGTGGATGCCTCCGAGCTAATTTCATTCTTCTCCCTGTTTGGTGTACTAATAGAATGAAATTATCTCAAACGCATCCACACCACCGTATGTTCTCGGATAACGGGTACAACATCTAGCTTGGCTGGATGCGTCATTCTTGAGCATTGTGTGGTCCCGTGGACTAGTGCGTCATCTGTCTGTCGCTCACCATGAGGCTAGCCAAAGCAGCATGGGTTCGATTCCTTGGCTATTCGCAGTGTTGTTAATGATCAATACCACTCGTTCGTGGGTACAACTATATATATATATATATATTATATATAATATATATATATATATATATATATATATATATATATATATATATATATATATATATACATATATATATATATGTCGTGCCGAATAGGCAGAACTTGCCATCTTGGCTTAAATAGCAACGCTCATCTTGCCATATAGGACAAGTGAAAATTTGTGTATGCAATAATTTCGCCAAAATCATTCTGAACCTAACGAAAAAAATATATTCCACTGTGTTTGTTTAGTATTAAATTACTGTAAACAAATCTAAAATATATTTAGTTGGGTTAGGCTAAAATAAATTGTTCTTGTTATAATAAGGTTAGGCAAGTTTTCTAAGATTCTTTTGGAGCAAAATTAAAAATTTTTTCATTAACATTAATGAAAAAAATATATCTTTAAACGTATAAGAGAAAATTTTAGAAAGGACTTAATTTTAAATGAGTTCTTGCTAATTGACCAGTTTTACATATTCGGCACGACATATATATATATATATATAATATATATTATATATATATATATATATATATATATATATATATATATATATATATAATATATATATATATATATATATATATATATATATATATATATATATATATATATATTTATATATACATATATATATATATATATATATATATATATATATATATATATATATTATATATATATATATATATATATGTATATATTGTTGAGTGGTTATCAGATTCTCCGTGGGTTTGTGTTAGAAGTGTGGCAGGAACGCAGTGACATAAATGAATGAAGCTGCCACCCATATATAAGCATGGTAAATAAGCTGTGCTTATGCGATGTATCAATAAGAGGAAATAAGGTGTTCATCTTCGTTTAGAGAGTATAGTGAGTTGAGCAATGTAATTTAAGCACGAAAGTTTCCTAGGTAAATAATCAGCCACTCATCACCGTGAACAACAATTTACCAAACAGCAGAAAAAAAAAAAATTCGACTGCTAGCAAAAGGTTAACCTAAACTAAACCATATCAAAAAACAATTATATGACATGATTTTTAACTTCTCTTATGATGTATTGTCTTAGCAATCTGTTACTTAAACAGTAAAAATAACAGTTACTATCAATTTTTGTTACATTTCAAGCCCTATAGAGGACTATTGAGCCGAGGCCGTCACACACACACAAGGGGTCACTACCTAGAACTATTGTATGGTCGCTCTCCGTCAGCAGTGGTAATGAAAGCCGCAGTGAAACCCTTCACAATGAGACAAACTTTGTTTTGTATGCATTTATAGATAATGAAAAATGATATAAGGAAGTTATATATACTTGATGTTAGCCAAGGTAGTTATTTAATAACATGTTAAATTTGTAAGGCTTTCTATTTTTGGTAAAGCTCGTATTAAAATGCCACATACTTCATTTCATTTTATTTGTTTATGACAATTCGCCCAGACACCTCTCCTCACGAAGAGCGACCTTAAATACCTTGCAGTCGATGCTTATACGTCGCTGCAGAAACATACGGATGCCCTTGTCTTCCTCATCAGGCGTTTCAATGATCTCTGGTAGCTCATACTTGCCCCTGCGCCTCGTAGGCATTAAGGGCATGTCATCCTCCGAAGGACTCAGTAAGGTGGGGATTTGAAGCGTGGGGAGGATGTTGAGGGAGGATCGGCTTGGTAAGGGTAGGTTTGGTCTGGGGGGACGAGTTGTGACTGAGGAAGAAGACCTCCCACTTTCCTGTTGCTGTTCATCACGAGTAGTGATTGCCATGTTGTTGTCAGTGTTAGGATGGTGGATGCTAAGGTCTATGGGAAGTTCTCGATTATTTTCTACATTTCCAACTGTACACTGCCTGGGCACATCACTGTGATTCCCAGACATTACTTCACTGATCGCTTGGCTCATTTCCTCTTTATTTAAGTCTCGTATACAACTTGCACCGCTCCGTCGTTTTGATATTGGCTTTTCCTAAAAACAGATACAAATCTGTTTATTAAACGTTTAACAGTGGTTATTGCGACATCGAACACCGAGGCTTAGCTACCGACAAAGTGCTCGCGCAGGCATAGCATACGATGAAATGCTGGCGAAGATAATGCAGGACAAACGAAGCAGCGGGTATCTTGTAAAAGAGAAAACAGCGATATGTCGAATTTACTAAAGAGTTGAAAATAAAAGTAGATAAAATGCAGATTTTGAGAAGTTGAAAAATCATAGAGCAAAGCTACATCGAAGCCTCATGTATCGTTTGAGGGGAATAACCAAAATGTAAGGTTCGTCTTGAGTGAAGCATACGATATATTCTCGGAAGTAGTTAGAAACATCAACTATAAGTAATGTATAAGCCCAAAACATCAAAGGTAGTCACTGCTGTGTTAAAACATCAAATATTCGCTCGGTAGCAGGGAAAATATGTGGTATGTGGATAGTCTTACATAAAAATAATTTTTTCGTCGTGTTAATTAACTTATAACACACCCAAATGAGTCATTGATAATGTGCAATTGGCACCCAAGAAATTTACATCCAAACGATAACCAGGAAAAAATCCAAAGTCTTCATAACAAGAAGTTTTAAAATTATGGAAAAAAAATTGATAGCGATTCATATTGAATTTTTTCCGATTTCCATCCACATTTTGTCGTTAGTAACATCCATACTGCCAAAGTGTGCGCCAACTTACCAAGGCCTCACTCGGGTACATTTTAATTCTTCTGTGGCGAAAGTGAATTTATTTTTTTTGTGGGGGGGGGGGGGTTGAACTAGGTGTCAAATGGTAGTACAGCTGCTGTACCTCCGTGGAGGAGCCTTAAGTGTTCTTTGTGGGACCCAGAGGTGATCCTGCAGGAAATCTTAATCTGCCTTTCAGGGAGCCTAGCTCGGAATTTGAGGTGGTGCTGCAGGGACCATGAGGCGGCCCTACAAGGAACTAAGGTGATCCTGCAAGCAACCTTAAATAAAGCCAGAGATGGACCTTCAAGGAGTCTGAGGTGAACCTCAGTGAGCTTGAGGTGGACCTCAGTGAGCCTAAGGTGAACCTCAGTGAACCTGAGGTGGACCTCAGTGAGCCTGAGGTGGACCTCAGTGAGCCTAAGGTGGACCTCAGTGAGCCTGAGGTGGACCTCAGTGAGCCTGAGGTGGACCTCACTGAGCCTGAGGTGGCTCTTCAGGAAGCCTGAGGTGGCTTACAGGCAGCCCGAGAAAGACCTCATTAAATTTGAGGTGGGCTTTCAGGGAACTTCAAAGTATAGCTTCAGGAATCCTGAGGTGGCTCATCAAGAAGCCTTAGATGATTCTTCTGGGAGTCTGATATGACTCTTTAGGAAATCTGAAGTCGACGTTCATGGATCCTAAAGTGAGCCTTCATGAAGACTGAGGTGGACCTCTGGTAACCTAAGGCATACCTGGTGAAGAATCACTGTAAGGTTGCACATTTTGGCAGTCATAACGAGAAAATTATCCATTCCCGATATCAAAGGAAGTGAAAGAGAGGAGAGCCTAGCACAAGGTTTCATGCTGTTCCACCTCCGTCACAAATTATTTTGTGGTCACACAGATACAGGGTGACTTTAAAATAATTATTTCTTTTAAAAAAGACCTGAAAAAAGAATTTCAAAAGACGCAGCAGTAGGATTAGGAAGGTTGGGAGTATTACTGTCATGGACACAACTTACCTGGTTTGTTGAAGAAATACATATTTATACTGGCTAAATACACACAAATTCTCCACACATGTTGATGTGGAGCAATATGACAGGTTATTCCACACATGTTGGTGTGGAGTAAGCTGTCATATTAACTTTAGTTCAAGCGACACTCATTACAACAAAGATCACAACACAAGGAAGCTAAAGTAAGTTCTCATGGTGCTTCTTTTGTAAGACCTTTTCAGATGTTGAGAAACTAAAGGCACTTTGAATTCATTAAATATTAAATTTCTCATTATTATATATATATATATATATATATATATATATATATATATATATATATATATATATATATATATATATATATATATATATATATATATATATATATATATATTATATATACACACACACTTAAGTGCACTTAATTTGACTTCCATTTATTATACAATTTTTTAAGATGTAACAAATGAAGTAACTAATATACTATGCATCGTTTAAAATATCGTATATGGGATGTTGGTGTTACAATATCGCTCGAATACTGGTAACTGGTACGACTGTGATCACTGTTAATTAGCATAGATATTAAGCGATCCTTAGTAATCAACAGTGATGTCATGTTATAACTGATAATCAACAGTGATGCTTGGCATTTTTACTACCCTTAATACGATATTAAAGTATCTAGTTTGTTGAAAAAATGTTTAGCAATTACTATATATATATATATATATATATATATATATATATATATATATATATATATAATATATATATATATATATATGGAATGAATGAATTAAAAATATATAAAAACTTGCATAATGTGAGCATAAGCAAGACACTGGGAAAGGTAAATAACGCAATTCTTCGTTATCACTTACCGCTTTGGGCTCAACGATTGTCGGTTTCTACACGCCAGGCGAGAACGAAGGCACGAAAAAAGAGTGGGAAAGAGAGAAAGAGGAGAGAGAGTAGAGAGAGAATGGAGGATGGGCGAAACGCCAGACAGCGAATGGAGGGAAAATAATAGATTAATAATCTTTCATATGGCAAAGGTTTACAGAATTTCTTATGTACTGTATATATAATATTTTAAATTATTTCCGTTTCTCCGCCTCAAACACATCAGCTATGTCAGTTTTCTCTGTTAAAAAAGAAATACAATAAAGCACATTTAAGAATGTTCATCAACAGTGTATTCCTAAAAAAAATATAGAGCCAAAAGTGCAAATATAAATGAAGTATAGAATTGTGTGGTTAAACCTGTATGATGTTATGTAATGTACCATGCTATAACAGTCATTATGGAAATGTGTTACATCAGCTAGCTGTATTTCAATATATTATATTATATAATATAATATATATATATATATATATATATATATTATATATATATATATATATATATATATATATATATATATATATATATATATATATATATATATATATATATATATATATATGTCGTGCCGATTAGGTAAAACTGGTCAATTAGCAAGAACTCATTTAAAATTAAATCCTTTCTGAAAAATTCTTTTATTCTTTTAAAGATATATTTTTTCATTTATGTTAATTTAAAATTAATAATTTTATACCAAAAGAACCTTAGAAAACTTAACTAACCTTATTATAACAATCGTAATTTAATTTAGCTTAATCTAACTAAAAATGTTTTAGATAACTTTTCAAATAATTTAATAATAAACAAACACAATGAAATATATTTTTTTCGTTAGGTTCAGAATGATTTTTGCGAAATACAAAAATTTTAGCCTGCCTTATTCGGCAAGAAGAGAGTTGCTATTTAAGCCAAAAATCACAAGTTTTTACCTATTCGGCACGATATATATATATATATATATATATATATATATATATATATATATTATATATATATATATATATATATATATATATATATATTAACTCTAACCCCATCATAGGTGTTAAAACTAGTAAATGAATAAATGAAAGTTCATCATATGGAGCTGTTGGTTTTACATAAAAATTAAACTGTTCTTATAAATTACAGTTGATATACTCTACGTAAGTAGAATAATTAACACAAACACTACAAGATGTGTTTTTACTTCCATACTAAGTCAACTAACATATAATTAAACTTGTGCATAAAGTTTTAGTGAGTGCACACGTGAACGGATGACGTTGTGGTTGTTCACAGTACTTCACAGTTTTATGACTCACGATACTGTAATGACACGATTGCAAACTAACCATACCATGGGCGGGGTTCGAACCCGCGGTTAAAGAGTCATAAAACTCCAGACCGACGCTTTAGCCACTGGCTAAAGCGTCGGTCTAGAGTTCTATGACCCTCTGATCGCGGGTTCTAACCCCGCCCGAGGTATGGTTTCTCACTGTTATGTTAAGAAGTAACTGAGTGTATTAGACGTTAACGTCAGAACTATAAAGTGATCATAATTAACAGGAAGGTCAACTGAACATCACTGATCTGGAACTTTAGAAGGAGAGCGCAGCATCAAGGTCAAAATCATCATAGAAGCATCTACTCATAAATTCGAACATGAGGTGTTCAAATTTTCCATAGCAGTTCACACTGAACACATAAAACAATAATCAACAGTTTACTTTATATCACAAGAAAGAATTTATTCTCTTCAGAAATGCCCAAATTGTACGTTGATTTAAAGAAAAAAATAAGTTTAAACGAGTACGTTAATATATTTTATATCTTTATTCGTGTGAATACTGAACCTTTCCCCCCAAAAAATAAACATTTATTAATTGTTTCTTATAAGTATATAAATTGCGGGAGCTGACACTTTTTTAGACTCCTATCCTGAATATCAGTTGTCAGTGTTTTTCATTAAATCAGCGGACCAATCATGTATCTCTAAGGAGAATGGATTCTCTATACTGAGATGTAATGATACAACCCGGAGTGTATCCTCCCCTCCTTCCTATCATGTCCATTATTTCACACTTCTGTCATCAACACGATATATAATCCAGAAAGTGACTTTTGGCCTGAACAAACTACCAGTTACATGCAGTTGTTCATACAATGGATTTTAATTCTTATAAGTCAATTTTATGATCTTTTTACTTTTTATGTAAGTGTATACGTTTTTCTTATTACAGTAGGTTAGTGTCAATTAAAATATTTTTCTTTGCATTACATGACTTTTTTAATTAAAACATAATTGCTTTAAAATATGTAAACCAGCTGCTCCAAATGGAAACTGTTCTTTTCTTTGTTTTAACACTGCGGATTGTGTTTGAGATTCCAGAAAATCTGGTAAGAAATAATGAAGAACAAGGCACATGAGGGTGTAATTTTTTAGTTCAAGATTTCTCGGCGCCTCAGAGAGAATTTTCCCCTCCTATCTGTTGCTAGACTTACAATATTGCATAGATCCTGACGACGCATAAAAGTGCGAAAGATCTTGAGCTAAAGATTTTCGTCTTCACATGGCTTGTTCTTCATAGTTATCATCGCTATTTTGGTCATCGTTCTTTTAGCAATTACTATCTTACACCTTATATTTAATAAAAGTTGCGTAGTCAAACCGAACTTTTATTAATTTTTCGTATGTTTGGGAAAATCTCTATGAACGTCACGAAATTACTATCTCGTATAAATGCTAGATAATAGTAAGCAAAAGAATAAAACACATTTGCAACAATTGGGTTTATTTATTTCTGAAATGTTTCGCCTGCGCAACATTCTGCTCCAGACGGAGGTAAATACTGAAAAGTAAGCAGTAAAAGTTGTTTTGACGTGGTCAGTCGATCACCCATGGTGGGAGGTGGTCGGTCTCTCAAGTCTAAAGCATAGGCATGAGGCCAGACCTTATTTATTAGTATATATACTAGAGTATATGTAAGGTCCGGCTTGAGGAACTGACCATCTCCCAGCAAAACTATTTCTACCGCTTCCAGTGATGCATTGACCTTCATTCGAATGTTGAAACCAGTTGTACGGACGAAACATTTCGGCAATAAAGTCACCCAAGTGTTAAATATGTTTTTCACTCATCACTAGGTTGATCGTAGAGGAAATAGACTCAGGCTTAATTACATTACGTAAAATTTAGCAAGACTAACTTTCATTGCTAAGTTAGTTATGAGTCAAAATTTTCATACAGTGTTAATGCACGTCACTATATTTATCAAACCATAAGATAAAATTTGTAAAAAAAAAAAAACACAATTATTGTGTGAGAAGACCGTTCCTTCACTATTTACTTATTTGTTTTTGCTAAAAGAACACGACATATAATTTCGGTTAATAAGGCGTCATATGAGCCTAAATTTTTTTTCAGCCAAGTAAGTCGCGTACCTTTACCCCGAGATCACGAAACCACATAAACATTTGTATGAATATTCTTGCTTAATTCCTGGACTAAGATAGCCCCTAGAGTTCACAAATAACTCAACATTCGGCTTCACTCTGATGTCAGGGTAAAGATTAATTCATTTGCCCTTCATCTCTCCTAATACAAACTAAGATTTCACACTTTCTTGAATATATAAATACTTCAAGGCTTCTTGAAACTAGAAATTTGAATTGTAGAGCACAGCTGGTACTCAAACTGGTATCCTAAGCTGTTACTCAAACTGGTATCCTAAGCTGGTACTCAAACTGGTATCCTAAGCTGGTACTCAAACTGGTATCCTAAGAGCTTCCAGGAACGCATGATACCCGCAATATCCTGGACGGCGTTAACGTTTTATGGTACAATTACCACGACTTCTAAACGCTTTGTTTTTAACTAATTCCTGTTTAAGGGGAGGGTTGTGGTCTTAAATAAGAAGTATTTAGATATATTGTATCAGGATAACCATTCCAGAATATTAAATTATAGCATTTATAAAGTGGATTCCGTATAATAACCTCGAGTGGTTCACTGATTGGCAAAGCCTTTAGTTGGGCGGTTAGTACTCAGGTAACGTAATCGAGCCTGGGACTCGTTAGGACTCCAGCACAAATCATGCCATTTATAAAACTTCAAGTGAAATTATTTGTAAGTATTAGGTGAGAGAAGTAGGCTTTTTCTTGTGTTATATTATATATTTCGAATGAGCGAGCCGTTAATGTATATTTATTGTTACCGAAGAATACCGTGTAGATACATATTGACCTACGTTAACTGATCCGTTCAGTTAGCTTGGGTAAGTTGCACCTCATAAAAAACAAAAATATTAGCGATTAAAACTAGTAAACGGACATATTTTTTGTGTTATTGGTAAAAAAATGACACAAATGCAGAGAGGAAATTTATAGAGACGTTTCACCTGCGTTACACACTTTTTCAGTTAATATTACACTGGCGAAACGTCTGGATAGAGTTCCTCTCTCTAACTGCCTTCTTCACCACCTATGGCATCGCGCCATTTGTCTCCATTTTTGTTATTATTGGTGCTTAGTAGGTGAAGAATACCCTTGTGTTGTCTTAAAATAAAAGCGTTATCAGCAATGTCCTATGATGGCTTAGACGCTCTCATTTCAAACAAACGCTTGATTACACAACCTATTATTAGCTAGTTTATCCTGTTATAGTCATCTGGTGTGGCGTTATTCAGAAATATGATCCTTGTCTTGAATCTGCCATCTATTACTCCTATCATTATCCTGCTCAAAAATTGTTTGTATATTATTCCCCCTATATGTGTCCAACTAACACATAACCATTCAAGAAGCCGTCGCCGGATCATAAGCCTGAAGATCACCAGGTTAGCACCAAGACAGTATCCAGAGAGGTACCTACGTTTACATCCTTTTTGGGATTTGCTTTAGAATCTTTAGGATTTTCAGGTTCCAATTTAGATTCTGATTTATTTTTGGGATTCTTCGGATTTTTAGGATGTGGGTTATCTTTAGGACCTTCAGGATTGGGGTTCGTCGCCTCTTTTGTAT